GAGGGGGCAATAAAGGCACGAAGTGAAGTGACTGGTTTACAAGGTTTCAAGAGGGAGCTTAGTTTAAGAGTGTAGGGGGAAAGAAAGAGTCCCCACTGGATAGCTATCATCTTGTCTAGATGCATCTGGTGAAAGGAGATGATGGGGATAAGATTCGTAAGATTCAGTAGTGAATAACGGTTATCATGACTAATAGCAACTGTGACACTTGTAAAGGTAGAAGGTTTGTAACAAAAACAGGGCAGTAGTTAATTTTACAGTCCAGAAACAGAGGACCCTAGGACCATCAAGAGAGAAGCGCACAGAGTGCTGGACCTTATCCAGAGAAGCAACAGCGCCAGAGATGGAGGCTGAGATGGGGACATGGAGAGGGGGCGCGGCTGACGACGACTCTAGATTCGTCAACTAAGAAGAGAAGGACTAAGAGCTGGTGGCCTGGAGCAGATTTGCAAAATGTGCCCTTTGGAGATGTAAATTATATATGACTGAGAGGTGTTTTTTTGTTTGTTTTTTTTTGTTAGTGTGTTTTTTAAAAAAGCTGAGGTGGAAAGAAATACTTTTAACTGATGGTATATGGAGGGGATTATAATCAATGTAATGAAACAGTTATATGAATTGTTGAATGTGAAACTGATGATGTGCCCTGTTTTCACTCAATCCACAATAAAAACCTTAAATTTAAAAAAAAAAAGGAGTACAAAGAGGATTTGGCTTGTTCTTTATTAAGTGTGTCATAAAGCTGTGTTTATCAAAGCAATGTGAAATTGACTTACATGAAATAGATATGTCCATGCAGCAGGATAATCCCAAGCAAGCCCACTGAAATAAAAAGCTTATATTATCAAAAAAATAAAAATTAAAAAAAATAAAGGTGAAAAAAAAAATCTATGAAAGTCATATATTTCCTAAGGAAATTTTCAGAACAGAAAGGTAGGCAAAAGAAAGAAAAAAAATCAATTGTGATCCCACTATCAAAAACATCACCCGTTTGAATGTTCTCATATATTTCCTTCTGATCTTTTTTCTCTGCATAGATTTTGGCTTGTTTTTTTACATATGGTATTGGTCATACTGTGGATCCAAATTTGTTTCCTGTTTATACATGTTACAGCTTAGGCATCAACTGAATGATTGCCTCTTAGTCCCTTGAATGTGTCCCATGATATATTTAGACATTCTCCTATTGGCTTGTCATTTGTGCTCATTTTCCTTTACTTGCTTATTCTTTCATTACAAATAATGCTTGAGTAAGTATCGTTGTGCGTGAAGCTTTTTTTTTTTTGACATTTTCATTGATGTTTTGATTTTGTAGACGTGCAATTAATGGGTCAAAGGGTGTGACAATTAGCCAAAAGAATGGAACCTCTTTTTCTGATGCCACAAGTGTTTTGAGAATGCCTGTTGCATTCCACTGGATGTTTCACGGTTTTAAATCTTGAGGAAAATATTATTTGTCTCTGATAGAATCATAGTGTGGCCACAGAGTGCTTAGTAAACCACTCCTGAGTTCATAGCTCCGTAGCACTAGACCTGAGCCCTTTTCCTCCCAGTTCTCCATTTCCTTTATCACTGATGCTAAAGCAGCATAGTCTTCCAGTTCTATTAGATCTAACTTCCTGACACATCTCTGGTCTTTTTCTCCCCACTGCTTAGCAAAGATGAGGTGGAGTTAGCTTATAAAAAATGGTCTCCAGCTCTAAGACCTCCTGCTGCCTCTTGGTCTCCTCTCCAGAAGACCTAAGGCTTCTGTGTCCCTTCCACTGTGGTTGATTCTCACAGCTTTCCCCTCTCTTCTTCCTCCTCTTCTCCAGTTCTACAGTGAGTCGGGGATGCCTACCAAACACCTTTCGGACAGCGTATGTGCCGTGTGTGGGCAGCAGATCTTTGTGGATGTCAGTGAAGAAGGCATCATCGAGAACACATATAGGTTATCCTGCAATCACGTGTATCCTGCTTTGTACTTCTGGACCACATCTCTTCTGCCACATGTATACTCTAGTCAGCAAGCGGGAAGTGTGGGTAGTTATGACCATGGGCATGTTATCTAGATCTTTGAACACAGAACTACTAGAGAGCAGAATTTGGGTGGTATTTCCTCATGGAGAAGGGTAGTAAAAACTGTTACTGTGCTTATTTGCTTAACCATAAGGTTGGAGGTTTGAATTCACCCAGAGGTCCTTCAGTGGAAGGCCTGACAATTTATCTCTACAAAATCAGCCATTGAGAATCGTATGGAGCACAGTTCCGTTCTGACACACATGGTGTTGCCTTGAGTTCTAGTTCATTTACTGGTGAAGCTGACACCCAGGAGTGGAAACTTCAGCCTTCCTCTCCCTTTCCGCTGGGTTAGAGCCACCTTATGTAAGCATGTTACAGCATGGTTAGATCAGAAGGGAGCTTGAGGTTGTGCTAGCTAACCCAAAATCCAGTCTGTTACTAGAGAGGAGGATCCTTTAACTGGCTTCCTCAGGTTTTAGAATCAAATGTCCCTGTATAGTTCTGTACAAGTGGGCTTCAAAAAGTTTGTGGAAACATGATGAAAAGATAATGGAGTTTTTCCATGAATTTTTTTTTTTAAACTTTTTATTGTGAATTGGATGAAGGTTTATGGAACAATTTTCCATTTAGCAGTTAATTCATACACATTTCATTCCATTGATTGCAGTACTCACAATGCAGCAACACTTATTTCCCTCCCTCCCTGTGTTCCTTGTTTCCATTCCTCCTTTCCTAACCCTTCTGAACTTTGTCCTTGGGTAAATGCTGCCCTTTTGATCTTAAATGGGTGGTGATTCATATCTCCCTAGTGTTATTGTTCCCCATATAGACTTGTGTTCTGTTTGGCTGAGCCATGGAGGTGAGTTCATTTCCAGATCTGAAGGGTGACAAAGGGCCTCATCTTGGAGGTCCCACCAGTCTCTATCAAACCCGTAAGCATGTTTTTTGTTTGTTTTTCATGATTTTGAATTTTGTTGTACATTTTTATCCCATTCTATCCAGGCCCTTCTAATGTGATCCCTTTCAGAGCAGTTGGTAGTGGTAGCCAGGCACCACTAGTCTTCTAGTCTCAGAGTGCCATGAACTTGAAGCACCCTCGTATTTACTCTATTCCTATTTAATGCCTATGTATTTTCTCTAGTTTGCTAATAACAAACCCTGTATGATAGGACCGTTGTCATCACTTCACACATGAGGGGGAAAGTTCAGAGAGAAGGGATTTGTAGCTAGTAAAGATTAAATAGCTAGTAAGAAGTGAAGCCAAGATCTGGACATTTCTCCTGAGGTGTAGTGTAACACATTCTTTGAAGACTGCCATGAAGCTGGAGTACCATCCTAGCGACCTGCCATTTTCTTTGACGATTGGTGCTTAGATTCCATGAATTCTGTATCCGAGGATGGTGCATTGTGGGAAAGAAGCAGACGTGTCCCTACTGCAAAGAGAAGGTAGACCTCAAGAGGATGTTCAGTAACCCGTATCCTTTGTTTGGGCTCTTGCTGGGACTGGGCAGTGGGAAGAAAGTACTATCTAGTACTGTAAAACAAAACAAAAAACTGCAGTTTTCAACATTAGAAGAACCTTAGGTATTATCTTACCTGCCTACATTTGCCTGGGATCCTGCTTCCTGCCCAAACCAGCTACAAATCTACCACTCTGTCTGGCTCTGTTCTAGGGAGTTTGAGGGTGGGATATTGAACTAGTAGTTAGTTGTTTCCCAGCAAAGTTTTGTATGCCTCAAGGGTAAATTGATTGTAATAACAGATACCATTTACTGCTTGGTGCTAAGTACTGTGTTGGAATGCTTTACTTGTATTATTCCGTCTGATTCCCTAGCAAGTCTAGTAATACCATCTTCATTTTCCAAATGAAAGTTTAAAGGGTGAGTAACCTTTAATAAAATGGTTGTTCAGGGTTGCATATAAATGAACCATGCCTTCCCTAAGTGCAGTACTAAAGACCAACCTACAGGGCCTACAAAGTGCAGGGGTAGCTTGAGAAGGCTCTATCTGCCCTCCACTTTCAGCACAAGATCTATGCTGGCTTTCCTCACTTTGACCTCACGCTCCTCTCCCACCTTGCAAGTTTGTCTGTTGGAAAGTTTCCTGCAACTCTTCTGACACCACTTTCACTTCCTGTCGGATCCAGGGATCTAGGTCTCTCCCCTCTCTTCTTACTAATCCCCAGCCTAGAGTCTCTGATTTAAAAGATTCTGGCCCATGCTCTTTAAGGTTCCCTGCTTGGCTCCTCCCGATCCTAGTTCAGGAACAGCGAAGTAACTCCGTGGCTGTGCTGAGTTAATGTTTCCCCAGTTTTCAGGGAACTAAGCTGGTCTTTCTTAATGCCTTTGGAGCAGTTCCCCTGCTCCCTGTACTTTCCCAAAAGCTGGGGTTCCCTGCTTCAGGTCTGTTACACAGCATTTAGCCACAGGACAAAAGTAAGGGTACTCAAGTATATCAGCCTTAGTTGGACTTGGTGCTTGATGCCCTGAATGGCGACTCCTTAGAGCCTTTGCCAGGGTTATTATCCCATTGTGACTAGACTCTTAGTCCTTCCTCCTTCTGGCTATCTCAGTAAGCTCTCAATCCCTTCCTCAGAAAATCTTCAACTTTGAATATTTTAAGAACCTTGTTAAGTGCTGTTGAGTCAGTTCTGATTCATAGTGACACTGTATAGGGTTTCTAAGGAGTGACTGGTGAACTTGAACTGCCAACCTTGTGGTTAGCAGTCCAGTGCTTATCCTATAGCACCACCACCTTAGGGGTTACCTTATTTCACTCTCTATACATTGTCTCCACTTTGCTTCACAACAACCCTGGTAGAATAGGGGTCCTGATCCTCTGTGCAGCCATTGTTATGTATACATTTACACAGTCTCTGACTGCATTTTCTAGCACTGGCAGCCCTTTTAGAGAAGACCCTCCCTGCATACTGGCACAGAGAGCTAGGTCTCACCGTTCTCCCTCTTTCTCTCATGTCTGTTCTGTCCTTTGCACCAGACCCCTTTGCCCTCCTTCCTCTACTCTCAGTCCGTCTTTCCAACATAATGAGCTGAAGAGAAGTTAGGTGGACTGACCCTTCTAGAAAGCTGCTTCCATCCCTCATAAGCCAATTTCTGTAGGCCAATCCAAAAAGGACCCAGAGAAATCCATCCATTCCCTAGACCAGCCCTAACAGTTCTTGTACACAGCCTCTTCTTTAACACACTGACAGCTGGGAGAGGCCTCATGTCATGTATGGGCAACTGTTGGATTGGCTTCGATACCTGGTAGCCTGGCAGCCTGTCATCATTGGCCTTGTACAAGGCATCAACTACATCCTGGGCCTGGAATAGTTAGGAAGAAGAGGAACTCGCCCTATCCAGCACGGACCTCGGGGCACTCCTCCCTGCCCACAAGGACCTCCTATGTGGGAAAGACTCAAGGGGCACTTGGGCCACTCAGGACCCCCTCCAGCTGTGTCCAGGCTGGGGAAGAATATGATGGAGAGCCAGCCAGTGGGCTGCCAGCAATGGAGGGGTTGGGGGGAGGAGAAGGCTTTTTAAAAAAAATATTTTGATGAATATATTTAAAAAAAAAAAAAAAAAAGACAAAACTTTATTATTGAGCATAGAAATTGGCCCCAACTCCTCCAGGTCTCAACTTCCCTGCTTGAGCAGGGCAGAGCTAAACCACCTTTTTGGTTTAAAGGGGTCTTCTCTTCTCTGAGGGTACTGGTAGGTTCCTCTGGTAGTTGAGGGTCTCAGCCCATCCACAGCCCCTTTCTCTGTGGGCCTCAAGGCTGCTGCACTCAGTGTGCTGATTGAAAGAGCTCAGCCTGGTGCCACAGATGAGCCCTGAGGGAGAAGTGTTCTCTCCTCCTGTCTGGGACATGGGGTGAGTGTTATATCGGAATCTGTCTTTCCTGTTCAGGAGGCAAGTGGAGTCTTGTCAGTGACTTTTTAAACAGGGAAGTCCTGGGGCCTTAGAATTCTCTAAAGATCTGGGGCAAACAGAAGCAGCAACAGCATGGATAAACTGCCCCTGCACAGAGCTGTACTCAACTAAGAACAGAGGCTATCTAGTTAGGGAATACCGTTGGCAGCAATGATTGTGCAAGTCCATACTTAAACCTGGAAGTGGTGACATGTGCCAACTGACACTGCCACATTACTTCCTCCTTTAAAAACTAAGAGTGTGTATGTGCTTGTGCACACACAGTGACCAAACTGGAACTTCTCCTTGTCACCACCCTGCTGTTGAAGCTGCACGGGGGTGTTTCAGCCCAGGGAATACCCCACTGTGAACCTCATCATCCATGGATCTTGCCCAGCTAGACGGGCAGTGGGTGTGTGGTAGATGGTGGGAAGAGAGAAGGCCGGGATAAACACTGGTTCTGAAAAGGGGCTTCCAGGCAGGACTCAGCACTGGTTCTAAGAACTCTGAAGAAAATGGGAAGGCAGACATAGCCTTCAACACTGGGTTCCTAAGGAACATGGCCCAACAGGGTCTTCCACCTTCAAAGACGGTAAGAACCAAGCAAGATCTTGTCACTCTGGTCTAAATAAAGCTCCATGAGCTGGGTTGGAAAGCTGAGCATCCATCTTACTTTACTACTCCTCACCTCCTTCCCTGGAATACCCTGGGGTGCTTGCCCTTGCGGCTCCAATCTGAGAGCTGGGGCCTGGGGGTGCTTGATCCCAATTTTCTGCTACACTTTTCAAACTTCTGTGAGAACAGTGGAGTGTAGATGCCTTGGCGTGTTACTGGACCCCCTTCAAATGGGACTGTCCATCTTCACCACCTGAGGTCAGTTCCCTGCCACTACCCTTACTCCTCAGGCCACTTTAAATCTCAGCTTCTCCTACCTAGTTTTGACTTCCCACAGTCCACTACTGCTCATGCTACCTGTGGACCCAGCCTCAGAGACTGGACTAGGACACTTTTGTGCTCGCTACCCCCATGTCAGGCTTGGGTGAAAAACTGCGGCTAGGCTGTCCAAGGCTCAGTTTCCATTACTTGACAGCCCATGACCTCCCAGTGGGCCCAGCTCTGGGCTTGGTTACACTTTAAGGTGGAAGAAGTCCGATCTTCTCTCTTTTCTCCTGCAGCTGAACTCGTATAACTTATAAAGCAAACCTGGGACAACTCCAACCAGGTTGGTCTGGAAGTTAGTAGATTACATTTCTGGAAAAGAAATGGGAATCTGACTTTTCCACAAAACTTGGAATCACAGCAGACTATGTCCCTGATATACAGCCCTACTTTGACACACATGGGGTTACCATGAGTCTGTATAGACTCCTTGATTTTTTATTTTATATTCCTGATGCACTTTCAAACCCAGTTCCATCTCTTGGCATCCCTGGCTCTGTATCTAGTACGTTCAGCCTCCTGATCAAACATCAGACCCATATCCTGCCCTTCTCCTTTCACGTGCACATGCACTGTGTCACCCAGTCCTGGTTTTGAGTCCTTAGACCCACCACCGAGAGTGACCACCACCACCTCAAATTTTGCATGTGAGACTTGTCACTTGCCTCATTCTAGTGGTTTTGCCATGGACCTCCAGCCAGTGTGTGTCCATTTGTCTCATCAGTGACTACATTTACAGAATATTATCTACCCTCTGTTGTTAGCGTCACTACTAGGTCTCTTGATTATGCTGCTTCCCCCTTTTCCCTCGGAAGTGCCCTCCCTGTTTTTAGAGTCAGTTCTCTCTAGATTGTGTTCAAAGTTTCTCAGCAGAGCCGTGAGACTTCCTGCAGACAAGGCAGGGAAGCACACTGAGCTTATCTCCTGTGGCATGGCTCACATGGACCAGACACAACTGAATTGAGCCTTGGATCTCCAAGAAGGGATTTTTGAGCAAGGACGACTCTTCAGAGCTTCTTGGGAGTCAGGTAGGGGGAATCTAGACTTAGTAATGAACCTGTAGTTCTATCCAAGGTGGATAGAGAAGTGAGGGGTTTACAGGTGGATTCAATGTTGAAAAACCTTGGGGCTGGTGGGTGGAGGAATAGGGAGCCTGAGAAAAACCAGGAATGTGGGTGTGCTGATGTGACAGCCTGAAATGGTCAAAATGGCCCAACTTGGCATCCATAGTGCCTAGGACGGTTGTACCCTTGAATACTGGAGTGAATGTGAAGAAGGAAGCAGGCGTGCTCTGAAGCTTGAAGGTGGGCAGTAAGTACTATCCTTCCACCAGATGGAAGAGTTAACATCTGGATCACACACTTTGTGATCCTGGGAGAGGTAGGGTGTGAGGGGGAAGATTACAGATTTCAGTGTGATAGCACTTGGAGAGGAGGGGGATCTGGGAATTAGGCTGCTGTGAGCTTTCCTTTGAAAAGAGGTGGGCACAGCAAGAAGCTTGAGGGTTGGACCTAGGGCTATGTTGCCAGTGCCTGCTCTGGATTCCCTGAAAGTGAAAGAGGCCAGTACTTTACTGGAATTGCACTACACATCCTGCCCTTCCCAGAACCAGCTCTGGTCAATCATCAGCTCTCATTCACCCCCGGAAGCAGTGGATAGAGCATTGTCTCCCGATGTGACTAGGTAAGTCCCTGGCTGTAATTTGGGCCTTAGTTTCTCCATTCCTTTAATGAAGGAAGGGGTTATATTGGATAAGCTAATCACTAAATTGACGATAAGAGGGTGGGGAGAGGTGGCCACTATATGGTCCCCCAGCCTTCTAAGTGCTGAAAGCTGGTGCCAGATGCCTGTCCTTCTGGAGTTTTCTATCAGTTGGGACATGATTCCTATAGCTCATGACCACCATCTCCTAAGCCTCAAGTGCCTGGCAGCCCACTGAGTGAAAAGTTCAGGCTCAGAGAGGGGCTGTGAAGCTTACAGGAGAAAGATGGCCACACACATAGCTGGAACCCAGGCAAGCTTAGGTGAGTAGTTTATTCATCATCATTCTCCGTGTTCCCCAGAGAAAAGGGGGACGTTATCACAGAGCCAGGAGCCCCACTGCCTGACACATGCACCATGACTGAGACACAGCACTGCACACCAGGTGGGACCTATGGCTGGA